TTATCACAGAGGCGTTCCTCTTCTATCACTTGACTGACAGGCTCAGCCTTGGTGCAGCCTTGGGTCCCTCTTCGGAGCCGGCTGGCATTGGCTCTATCCAACTTGGGAGGCTTCTAGCCACCCTGCAGCTCCCCCCCTGCCGCCACCAAAATCCGGCCAGGCCAACCGAATACAGATATCCTTCCTCTCATTATAACATCTTCATTTGTTTGCTTGAGGTCAACTGTTGCCGTGTATTATTTTCTTCATTCCTTAGGTTTGATCTATAAAGTGCTGAGCACTTCTCTCCACAGGGCTGCCATAATTTCAGCACTCTGTGGTGTGCATGTGTGATACATACAAATAGTCTCTACTCTTAATTGCTTAAAACGACGACTCGTGTCTGCTGGCACTGTAGAAAAGCAGTGTATGTGGTTGGCAGTACGTCTTTGGCCATTACATGCCTTCTATTTGGCAGTAGTTATTTGTCTGGCCATTACATGCCTTATTAAATACCACTTGTTTCTAATCTTTCTCTGTTGTCCAGTGTCTGTGAATCATCTGTGATTAATTTCAAGCATTTAGTTTGCAGCCTGCAGCTGATCAAAGTATGTCTGCCTTTTTTTTTTTAATATATTTGCTATTACTGCCATAGCATTGGTCTGTTACCTGTTTTGTATTGTGCATGTTGGCAGTTTCCAGCAGTCTTATTCTAGAGTGTCTTTCTGTATTACTTTTTAGTAGATACCAACATGAAATTCAATTTTTAGAAGTGCTGCATGCCATGATATTTTTCCTCTCTCAAAAGGAGTCCAGCATATCTGAAAATTAGGCAAAATAAATCTGTGAGGTTTGCTATCAGTAAACAATAATTCAGCAAAATAATTGCTTCCATGCTATTTTTGCTGTAGTGTGGAGGTTCTGTTTTGAGCAGTGTAATTAAATGACATTTTATTAGCCTTCCTTGATGGTTTTATTTCCTACTTGTTCTTCAAATCCCTGGTAATCACTGTCACACCTACAGATGTTGCAATGCCAGCTCCAGCATGGCTTGATTCACATAAAGGAAAATTCTATTTCTCTTGCTTTTGACATACTGTCTTACTGGATATCAGATGGAGCTTAGACCAGCTCTGATCCCAGCTTTTCTACTTTATTCTTCAGGAAAAACGTTGTTCAGTCTCTCATAGTCTGTCAAAAAGACTTGATTAATGTGGTGAAGGTGAAGGCATATGAAGCTGGAATTTGCACTTTTGCCATCGAATGGTTTCTACTGGTACGGGAGGCGTGCCTCAGGAGGCAGAGGTTTTGCTACTCTCTAGTAAACAAGCTATGCACCGTATGTTGTCTTGGAGAACTGAGGCCCGCTTCTGTGTGATTGCCTGTACACATGTATGTGTATATATATATATGCGTATTATATAGTAATATATAATACATATACTGAGTTTTCATCAGATTGTTAAAGCAAATCACCTGCCAGATTTTCAGGAGCGGATGAAAGGATTTATGCCAACCATAACAAAATATTTTAAATATTCTTTCTTTTTCCCCCAAATTCTTTCATTTTACTTTCTGTATGATCATTTTAAATGAAGGTACTTTACATGGGAAGAATACTAACCTAACTAGTTTATTTGGATTTTAAGTAGGTGTACAAAATGAAAGGTTATGTTATCTTTCCATCTCTTTTCAAATCTTGGCAGAAATGGGAAAGGAGACGGTAATTCTAGTCTGAAGAGAAGTTTTGCTTGCAGGATGTTTCTTCATATAAACCTTCCTTCATATTAATGATCTTGGCTTGTGTTCCTTACTGTGTAGCTGTATTTCAGGGGGAGTATAACTCTGTATTATGTAGGATGTCCTCATTCATCCTGCTCACACAGTTGTTCCACACTTTGGGACAAGTGTGTCTAAAATTCTGATATTGCTGAAACTTGCCCTGATTCTGCACTGTGATTGTGGCCTTGTTCACACTTGTGCTAGGTTATTTTTGAAAAATCCTTTGACTTTTACAAGCCAAAGTGTAACTATTGATTTCCCAGACGCCTTGTACTTCTAAATATGAGATTGAAGCACTGCTGCTGAAACAGCACAACCCATGCTGTGCATAGGAACATTTACAGCAGGCGTGTGATATTCTTTTTAAGACACCCACATAGGTGCTGGGAACAATTTTTATCTTGATAAATAACTGAAATAACGCAGCATTTCTGGAGTAGTTGGCTGAACTGTTTTGACACCTGCTGTCCTGCACGTAACGTTTTGTACATCAGAAGATGCTATGCTGAATGTTTAAGTGTGAAGGAACAAAGTTAAAAGAACCGAAGGTGTGAAAAATGTGGAGTGTTAGTAGGAGCAAAGGTTTTTCCAAAAGGTTTAAAAGAGTAGGTGTGAAGTCAAGCAAATTCTTATATAGTCCGTGGTTCTTTAAAAGAAAAAAAAAATACCCCAAACCCACAATGTTCAGAATACCCTGTAAACATTCAGCTTCTGTTGAAAGATACTGCTGAGTACCTTTTACCTTATAGCTATCTTGCAAATACCTTGATTGCTTGCATTTTTTTATGAAGCTTTGGGTGATTTCACGTTAACTAGTAGTCATGTGTATATATATGCTCATGTAGCAAGTCATATGCTCATCTAGCAAGAAATGATGTCAGGTCTTGTTATGAATATAATCAATAAATGTAGTGTGATAAGAAGAGGAGGAAAAAAAATCTTATTAAGCTATGTTTATAAGTTTTTTTACTTCATGCCCCCCTTTTTTTCATTAATCTGACATCATATAACAGAAAACAAGGGAAAGGACATGTGTGAGTTGAATGTAGGATTTCTACTGCTTTGTAATAGAAACTGTATTATAACATTTAGCTATAGTGCCTGATGACATTTTGAAGATGGCCTTTGGCTGTGGGGAAAAAAAGTATTGGTGTTTTCCTTTGAGCAATTTTACAGCCTTTTGTTTAATACCCTTTTGATTACCAGTTTGCTCTGAACCTAACTCACATTGATGTCTCTTTCAAACAGGATATATTTTATTCAGCAAAACGAGTAGATACACACAGCATTGGTTAAGTTTATAGGCCTAGAGGAATAGAAGAGTGATGATCGAGATATAGAATATATCCAGAACTGTTGTGTAGGAGCCAAGTTCTTCTGGGATATGAGGATCTCCAAACTCCATGATTTCCCAGTCTTTGGCCATTTGCTATTTGCGGCAGTCTCCGAATCCTTATTTCCAAAATTGAGAAATTACCTAAGCAAACATGGAGATGTTAAAGGTGAAGAGGTAACTTCCTGCACGGCCATGCCTGCTGCTTAACCCTGGTTTCTGTCTGCACAGGGCTTCTTACCATGAGGTGACAAAGTGCAGCTCAGCAGTAACTGCCACCAGAAGGAGCTGCAGGAGCTAGTCTGTATGAATTATTAGTTCAGTGAGGATGTTTAAAAAAGATCTGATAGTGGGTGTAAAGAACCTGGAAGTTGGTGGTTATACTTAGCTGTTTGACTTCCGCACATCCAGCTAAGTCATGGTGGGCTGAGATAATTGTTGTGATCTTTTTGTTCATCAAAGTGCTTAAAGCAAGCAAAAAGGCTCACAGACTTACATGACCTTAGGATGCCTTAATGGGTAGCATAACAAAACATCTCCTTAGCATACTGAAATGGGCACTTAACAATGCAAAACAGTGATTTTTTGCCTGAATTCTGAGCTATGTTCATCTGATGCTGATTTTGTCTTTCTAAAGTAAAAAGATCCCTTTGGCTATCTCTTCGCTTTCTGTTCTATGATCTTCCTTCCTAACCATTGTCTTTCTCTGTTTAATAAAATGTCCTAATCACAGTTTCCAGTGTATTTTTGATTGCTGACTTCCATACCTTTACATTTTTTTCTTTGCATAAAACATCTCCAGTTTCTTTTAAATCTGGGAAAAAAACAGATTCATCTGCTCTTTCACACATCCCATTCCTCTGTTGCCATCCTTTGAGCTATTATGTTAGATTTCCTTCACTCCCTTTCTTATCTCCACACTTACCGTTCTCCCATTGGGGTCTTTTCCTTTTGCATTGCAAGTTTTAGCTTCCTCTAACTTAGAAAAAACCCCAAACCTTCACCACATATATACATATAGATTAATTAGCTCCAGTTGTTTCTCTTGTCTCATCTCCCTTTCTTCTCTTAAGATCTTTCTGTGTTAATTCTCTCTGATTTTCAGTCTCTCTCTGATGCCTGGCACAGCACAGAAACTGTCAGCCATGAAATCTGTGCTCATCTCTTTGCAAGCAGAGCTCAGAACTCATGCTTTATCGTCATGATACTTGTTTGATCAGCTCCTTTACTTTGAAAACCTGTAGTTCTTCTTTGTTTTCCCTGTTTTGCACTGTTTCTAGACAGCACTGTCTAATACACATTTCAAGACTCACTTCTGTGTTGAGAGTTCACCTCTGCTGTGGAGCTGATTCCTCCTGGACAGACTGGACCCTTTCCTTGTCTCTGACACATTTCCATGGATCCCTGGTCTTCATTTCAAGTTGAATACAGTTAAAACAATTTCCATTCCACTAAGCTTTCCGTGCTATCCCTGCTCTTACTCACTGTAGACCATATTTTCACCTTCTCTGTCAGGGCTGTGCCCCAGAGCATAGCTCTCCGTCCTGGCCTTTCCTTCTAGATTCAGTTCTGGACATTGTCATCCATGCCCTCAAATTTCCCCTCAGTGCTTTGGCCTTGCCTTCATGAAAGTATGGTTCTGCTGTGCACTGTGGTGGCGAGTCAGGACAGGCAGAGAGAATGGTTTTGTGGTGTGACTTTCCTGTGGGAAATGATTTCTACAGATGGGTTAAATCCAGCGTGCTTGGTACAGTCCTACACAGATAGGGTTAAACTAATACGAGATTATTTAAAATCTTCTTGACGTTTCTTCCACCTTTTTTCTCCTGTCTGGAATTATCTTCAAGATATTTTGTCTTTTGTCTATAACGATTGTCTCTTAGGATCATACAAGAGTATCCTATATAATTGCTTTTTTGCGAGTTCACAAGCTGACAGAAGCTCATCCATTCAGTCAGACCTGTATGTGATTTGTAGTATTGTGGTAGCCTGTATTTAATTTGTGATAATTTTGCATTATATAAAACTAACTGTGGTCTGTTGAGAAAGGGAAGTGCTAGCGCTGACAGAAAACTTAGGGAAAAGACCTGCCTGTTTGCCATGAATTTCCAGTATGTCAGTGGTTGCCCGCACCCCAGACGGCAATGCAATTAGACAGCTAAGGGAGAGAGGGCAATCACATTGCCAACTATTGCAGACTGTGCCAGCTTGGCAATAGGGGGATGCTTCATTTTCACATCCTCAGCTAAAACCCCCCAACCATTTCACATTATAAAAAACAAGTCTTGTATTTCAGTCTGTAGGACTGATAGGACTGATCCAAAATATATTAAAAAAAATATTTTACATGTAACATAAAGCTGCAAGATAATAATCATCTCTGTGCAAGCTTTGCATTGGCTTGTGGGTTTTAGTGGATGACTGATAATTCTTTTATTTGTAACTTATAATTGATGCTTTTTTGTTGTTGTTTTTGCAATAGCTTTACAGCGTTGTGTAGCAACCAAATGTAAGGATGTAAATTTTTACTATTATATCTCAAAGTTACTGTTGAATCCAGTGGGACGTTTTGTCTGACAAAGCATGACAAAAAGTCAGATCACTTAAAGTCTATAATCCTTTAAAGGAATCCACCCCCCTTTTTTTTTCATTAGGCTGACATCATGTAACAGAAAACAGGTGAATTAAGGAATAATCCATCATATAACAGAAAATAGGTGAATTATGGAATAATCCAGCTACGCTATGCAGAGGCTGTCATTCAAAGCTACAGTATTAGGCTTTGCTAGTATACCGCAGAACTGGATGAGAGCTTAGTAATTTGATGCCTTTTTAAAAAATGTAGATATGGACAGAGTTTGCTATTCTAGATCTTGGTCATTAAAATAATAATTTGGCATGTCAGGTTTGGTTCTTAGAAGTTCTTCTTATAATTTATTGAATAGAAGACTTGGAATTAACAAGATAATCTGATTTAGTCCTGGGACCCAAGGCTCAGGAAAGCTGGGTACTATCAGCTCCTCAACCTGCCCTGCAACGGAGCTTTGGCGAAGGCTCCTCTCAGTGCTGGCATATGCCCTTGCTCTGTGAAATGATCAGGACTGTACTGACCTCTGCTGTCAATGGCCTTTGTGGACCAATGAGTAAAGCTGCTGGGTACGGACTACCAGGTGGTATTTAAAAGATGTGTGGGACTCTCAATAACTGGGTTTGTGTTTAATAGCACCTGCAAACTGCCTTGATTGACTGAATGTGGCAGAAAATTTTTTTCTAATGAATAAACAGCTTTTACTATATGGGCTACTACTTACATATGACTTGACAAAAGCTTGTGGAGGGGGAATTAGTGTCTCAATTCCTTGCAGATCCCAGCACACTGAAGCTGAGTACAAGCACTGTATAGAGCAGTGTAATGACCTCTTAAAAAAAAAACAACAAGCAAACAAGCCCAGTACAGTTTTAGTGGCCCTGAGTTAAGCTTTCCACTGTAGACTACCTAGTCTTGCCAGTTATTTTGTCTCACTGTGTCTTAGTTTTTTGTACTAAAGTGTCTCCAAATGCTTCATTTAATGGACTTTGCACAATAAAGTTTGACCAAAGGGCATGCTGAAAAGCAAACTGTCTGAAATTAGTATTTTGATAAGCCCTCCTCAGGCTGATATCCAGGCTGCCTGCTTTTCAGTTGTGATTACACTTACAGTCCACAGATGACCTGGAAAGAAGAGAAGAGTAGACACTGACATGGCTCCAAATCAATAAAGACTGAACTTCTGTACTTCCTTAGAATCACGGAAGGGAATGAGCAGGCTAACCTGCTCAAAAAGTTTCTTGACATATCACCCTTCCTTCACAGAAAGAATCACCAGGGTACCTCAGAGTGACAGTACTTAGGTCATTAAATACATATCGGTGTTTTGCAGAGAAGTTTTTGAACTGGAATTAGGATGTGTTAAGTTTATTGTAATTTAACTTAAAAGTAGGTGTTTGAGTTTAATCCACTTTGGGTTGAGTTTCTACTGAAATATCTGTATTGATTATGTAAAGAGAGCCAGCCCACTAAACTAACTGCCAAACAATCCCTTTCCCCCTCAAACTAGAAAGAAACAGAAATTTTGTGCCTGGATAATAATCTTCTATAAGTATTTTATATTCTGTTCCCATTGGTACAGCAGCAGGATACAGCATTATTCCTCAAAAGCTATCATGCTGCAAACTCCTTGGGATCTGTTCCACTTCCTGGGGATTCCTCACTTCCTCACAGATGAGAAACTGTGAACTGTGTAGCCCTCTCTTAGTCTTTATACACATATAAATGGGAAAAAACATCATCCCTGTTGCTTGTATAACCATAAACAAAGTCATCAGACTAATCCTACTATATTGCTTTAAGACATAACTGCTTTCAAAAAGATGGTTTCAACTGTGTAGCCAAGTAACAGAAGTGATATTGTATTTCTTATTACTAGTCTCCTTTAAGGTGAGAGAACATTCTTCCTCCATAGCAATGCAGGAGAGTGCAGAAATGCAAAGCATCTTCTGACAAGCCGAGTGCTCTTTACAGTATCTGTTGTTGAGTTTCAGTTGTATTTTGGAATTGTGGAAGTGGAAACAAATTTTCTTTTCAGTAGAGGCTTTGTTAATACATTTTGGACTTACTAAATGAAGACAGAACAAAAGAAAGAGAATTATTTTGGCACAGGGGAAGAAACAAAGTGGTATAAACTGCATGTCACATCCTTTCACCTTGTGATACTCTAATATACTTAGGATTTGTTTGTTTATTTTCCAGAAATTGTCCTATACAAAGGAAGCAATGGGCAGGTGAGTATCTGTGTTTTCCTTGCATTTTAGTCTCTCTGGAGGTAACAGCAGGGCTGAGTTGTGACATTTTGTAACCTTTTCTCTCTCTTTCTTCTCAGCTCCTGTACCGATTGGTCATGTGGGTAAGTAATTTCCCCTTTTTAAAGGCTCCTGATCGGTCCTTTCTCCAGTTCTTGTTGCTGCTGGAGTTGATCTGTGCACTGAAGATGAACAAAATCCCGCTTTGTGCAGAAGGGCATATAGGAAAGTGTGGTGGAGAAATCCTGTGGTTCTTGCATGTGAACGTCTGTCCTGGTGTGCTTGGCGTGCTCAAAATATCTCAGCCAATCTGAGGCTTGTACTTTTGCTTAAGTATATCATCACCTTGTTGGCTGTCAGGCTATTTACCTGAAGAGGTTTAGTGGGGGAGATCTATTTAGG